AGAAAATGTTTTATAACGTCTTACTTTTATCAAGATTTCGATATATCTAATTGTGGATTCTTCTAATAATACCATTGAATGTCTTTTTACTTTCTTCTCATTTTTATATGGTCCAAATGTCCTGTATGTCCTACTTTTGAGTTTATATTTCTCCGCTTCATTTCCGATTTGAAACCCATTATAAAGGGCATAATGTCATTAGTTTTGTCAGTATATGTTTTGCTTTAATTAGCATTTTGGCATATTTAAATAAATAAGATTACTTTTGGTAATTTTTTCTATAAAAATAAGAAAAATTTAATGTCATTCGCCTTTCAAATGTTCAACACACCCAATTATTTTATTTAGCCTGAGATTCCTTTAGAAATAACTTAAAACTATTTATTCCGGTTTTGTTCTAATTAGCTTTTCGGCATATTTAAATGAATAATATAAGTTTTTATCAAAATTTCGATATTAGATTTTTCCAATAATACCATTCAATGTCTTTTTGCTTCCTTCTCTTTTTTATATGGTCCAAATGTCCTACTTTTGAGTTTATATTTCTTCGCTTCATTTCTAATTTGAAACCCATGATAAAGGGCATAATGTCATTAGTTTTGTCAGTTTTGCTTCAATTTGGATATATAAGAATCCTTTTTCTATAAGAATAACAAAAAATAGTTGTTAAAGGTTTTACTTCAATCAACATTTCGGCGTGTTTGAATGAATAAGAAAAGTTCATATAACGTTTTGCTTTTATCTACATACTTGATATGGAAATATGGATTCTTCCAATAATACCATTGAATATCTTTTGCTTCCTTCTTATTTTTATATGATCGAAGTCTCCAGCATTACCACTATATTTGCCTTATACTTTTGATTTTATATTTCTCCGCTTCATTTCAAATTTGAAAACCTTCATATAGGGTCATAATGTCATTAGATCTGTCATATTTAATTGAGTAAAAAAGCTTTTTAAAACTTTTTGATTTTCAAAATACCAATTTTCTTTATTGAGTCTTGAGGTTTTTCAAGTTTCCCTTTAATTAGCATTTCGGCATATTTGAATGAATTTCCATATTCCTAAATATGTATTCTTCCAATGATACCATTGAATGTCTTTTGCTTTCTTCTCATTTTTATATGGTCCAAATGGCCTGCATGTCATACTTTTGAGTTTATATTTCTCTGCTTCATTTCCGATTTGAAAGCCATCATAGAGGGCATAATGTCATTAGTCCAACCCTTTCCTTTATTTGGAAAGGGTTTAATATAAAGTCAATAATTGCTCTAATCAACATTTCGGCATACTTGAATGAATAAGAAAATGTTTTATAACGTCTTACTTTTATCAAGATTTCGATATATCTAATTGTGTATTCTTCTAATAATACCATTGAATGTCTTTTTACTTTCTTCTCATTTTTATATGGTCCAAATGTCCTGTATGTCCTACTTTTGAGTTTATATTTCTCCGCTTCATTTCCGATTTGAAAGCCATCATAAAGGGCATAATGTCATTAGTTTTGTCAGTATAGGTTTTGCTTTAATTAGCATTTCGGCATATTTGAATGAATAAGAATATTTTAAATATTTGAAAGAATATGAATACCTCCAATGACACCATGTCATTTTTCAGCCTTCTCATTTTTATATGGTTCAAAAATTTCCTGCATGTCATACCATTAATTTTATATTCCTCCGCTTCATTTCCGATTATAAAGGGGCCATTATAAAGGGTCCATATCTTTTCTTTATTTGGAAAGAGTTTAATATAAAATTAAAAATTTTTTGTTAATAGGTTTATTTTTTATTTATATCAACCTTTGGATTTGTATATGATTGGTTCATATTCTTTTTTTCTGAGTATGGACGTTTTGTCTTTAGTTATTTTAATACCAATTTTTTAATTGTTTTGTTTCCTCGGTTATGAAACCCATAGGAGCTTCCACACACCATTTTTTCTTTGTCTATTTTTAAGGGCTGACACGTAAAGGTTTTTCTGCATGCTTCTTTAAGTTGCCCGTAAAATATATACAAATAAAGTCCCGTCCCGTTAGGCGGTCTTAGATCGAGTTCCCCACTACAATAATTAAAAAAGATTGTTCAGCTGAGGAACTCGGATAAGAACCCCTTACTTTCATATAATTTACTCTATGAAATCCCTTTAGTAGGAATTTCGTCAAAATAGGACAGATTTGACTTAGGTTTTTCTTTATAATTTGAATTGAATTAATAATAATATGATTTTTTTTACTTTAATTTTGTTAGTTTTGTTTTGAAACCCACTGTGCTTTCCTTCTTACATAATAATATTTGTCATCACTTGAAATATTTATTATTTTGCCAAAAAATAATAACCCCCCAAAATTTCCCCCAGCAGAAAAAATACATTTCCCACACATAGACCCACCACCATATTTTGCAAAAAAAAACCCCAAACAAAAACAAAAAATATAAAGAAATAATAAAAAACCCAACAACAACAAATCAAACCCTCACCAGAGTACGAGTATATCATTGTAACATTTTCTTTTAAATTTAAGTGTAACGGAACAAAAATCCAAAACAAAACTAAAAAGGACTCTCTATATGAAAACAAAAAATAACATAAATCCCAAAAAATAAAACAACAAAAAACTATTCATTATAACATTTATTCCATATGTCAGCAGCAGAATGTCACCCCCTCAGAAAAAGAAATACCCAACCTAATATTATTCTTACAATAACCAGGCATAAATAATTTGCAAATTAAAAAAAAAAAAGAAAACATATTTTTAATAATAAAAATATATATCAGAAGAAAATATTTTTTCTGTTTGGTTCAGATTTTCAGTTGACAACCACAAACAAGAACAAAAAAAAAACAGGCTAACACCAACACCACCCCCCCCCCCCATTTTTCTTCATCCTCCACATAAAACAAACTCAAACACACATGATGAAACGCCCACAAACAGAAAACAACAACAACAAAAACATTGAATTTCATTGACTGAATTAACAAAAAATAAAAATAATAAAAAATCAAGAAAAAAACAAAGACGAAACCAACAACAAGTTTAAAACGTAGATTTTAAGTCTTAACAAAAAAACCAGGATGATAAGAAGAGGAAAAGAAAAACAAAAAAATGATATATAAAAATAAAAAAATAAATTATAATAATAATAATTGTAAAACAAACAAAAAATAATGTGTGAAGAAACAAAGAAGAAAAAAATAATATTTGAAATAAAAAAACACAAACAAAGAAAACTCTCATCTACATTGTACATATAATTAAGTACAAGTGCAAATAATAAAGGAAGCTCTGCAATAGCGAAAAAATCCAAAAAATATATATTTGTTTTATTTATTATGGGTGGGTATAATAATTTTATAATCTATATGGGACATAAAGAAACAAATCCCTGTTTTAAATGCTATTTTCGATTTGTAGCCTATTTTCAGGCGCAATAAAAACAAGTAAATGCATTCACTTTACAACACTGGCAATGACTCGTTTTTAGCGCCATCTATTGATACGCGTGATGCCGAATCGCCAAACATTTTTTCGTTTCCATACAAAAATACGAATTTTGACCAATTCTTAACCAGTGTTGTAAAATGGCAAAATGTTGCATTTCACTAACTTCGCAAAGCATAGTTTAAGGCGCAAATGGAATTATGCAAAAAGTGGCATTTTACAACACTATCATTCACTGACCGCACAAAGCATACTTTATGGCGCAATATAAAATTAAGCAAAATTGCGACATTTTACAACACTGGTTAAGAATTGGCGAAAATTCGCATTTTTGTATGGCAGCGAAAAAATGTTTAACGATTTGACATCATGCCTATCAATAGATGGCGCTAAAAATATACCATTGCCAGTGTTGTAAAGTGAGAGAATATTGTGCCTAGAACTATGGTATTTATTTAAAAAAAATCCAATCCCAATAAAAAAACATCTTCCTAGCATTCCACTAAAAATATTTTCTTTCTTTTATTTTAATTTCATTATAAAATATAAAATTTTATATCATCTTACTTACAACTAATTAAGATAAAGTTATACAATTTGTGTGTGTGTGGCCTAATTTCTTCTTTTTGAATTAAGGCTAATACTACATTAAAAAAAAATATGTCTACAACATACATACATAACTATGTAAAATAAAAAATAAACTAAAATATAAAATAAAAAACTATTTAATTAAAAAATGACTATGTGGTGGGAGGCGATGCCGAAGTCTTATTAAGCACTGCAGGAGATTTTAATTCCTCTGTGGTAGCGGCAACATTTGCTTTCAGTTTTTGATTGCGTTCATGGACACGTTGATGGCGTCGTAAATCACCGGCAACTCGGAACTTTTTGGAACAAGTATCGCACTCATAGGGCTTTTCACCTGGAATGGAGAGAGAAAAAATACACACACATTAGAATTCAACAAATTCATCCCATTCTTCCCACATACCTGTATGAATCTTCCGATGATTTTGTAAATAAGTTGACGCTCGAAATGTCTTTGTACAAAATTCACACTTATAATTACGCTCACTGGTGTGTATACGCAGGTGCACCACCAGTGAATATTTCCGCGAAAATGCCTTGCCACAAAATTCACATTGATGATTCTTTAGATTGCTATGTATCGATATGGTATGGTATTTGAGATCACCCCATTGACGAAATTTACGATTGCAATGTTCACATTCGAATGGCTTGTCACCCGTATGGGTACGAGTGTGAGCCTTAAGGGCACCCACAGCAAAAAATGATTTGCCACAGATATCACATTGATGGGGTCGCAGACCCGAATGGGTACGATGATGATATTTAAGAGCATTACAGGAGTTGAAAATACGTTGGCATTTATTGCAAACATAACGTTTACGTTTACCCTTGCCATCGACAGCATTCTCCCCATCACCGTCCTCTTCCTCACCTTCAATCGCAAATTCGCCATCTTCCGTTTCTTCGTCGTCTTCTTCTTCCTTGGTCTTGGCCACCAGACCAGTAGTTTCATTATTCGAATTGGGCGAAAGTGATCTAAAATCATCACTGTGACAATCATCATAAACCTCATCATCAACTTCATTGTGGGCCACTAGATGATTGGAGTCCCCTTGATAGGCAGGAATGTCGTTATTATTTTCAATTTTTATATGCTGAGGTTGTATCAGGTCAATATTATTGCTAAGTGTTGGCTGAGGTTGAGGAATATGAGGTTGCTGTGGTGGTAATGTTATTGGCTGTTGTTGGGGTGGTGCAGAGACTATCGAAGGCTGAGCTGCTGATACAATCGATGTCTGAGGTACGGTTTGCGTTTCATTGCTATTGTTCATGCCATCATTGGTTTCGGGAAATTGCAATCGTAGATCAGTTGGATGATGTAAAACCTGCCCGGATGGGTGCATTAAATCTTTTGGCATTAATTTCCCCACCACTGTCATATGATGATTATCTTGTGGCACAGTTGTTGGTTCGGTATTTAACATGGGCGCAAATTGACCCGAAAACAAAACATCACAAAATGGCTTGCCTTTTGTATCCATGCCATTGAAACAATTGTTATTAAACCTAAGGGAAGAAATCGGATAATTTAAAAACACAAATTGAAAAAGTATTTGCAGCGACTTACCAATGTGGCCTCACACCATTTGAAGTGGGTGTCATTAGGTCCATTGCATCACAGGTATCCTCAATTAGTACCTTATCCCGTATACCTTCCAGCATATCTTCTGTATCACTGAATTCTTCAGGCACTAAATTTTGTGAAGGCTGATGTGTTTGAGGTTGTTGAACTTGTTGTATGTGGGACTGATGATGGTGGTGTTGTTGTTGCGGCTGTTGCAGGGTATTATTTGCATTGTCATATGTATTATTGTAGACAACTTTCATATCGACGACACGTTCCACATGCGCCTGCATACCCATATCAACCACCACTCTACGATCTGTATGCACCACATTGTCCGCCGCTTGTGAGAAATTTTCAAAGGGAAAATGTACATCTTGGAAGACTTGATCAAGTCCATCAGTCTGAAAGGAAGAAGAGAAAAAAATTATAAGATCCTGGCTTATCAAAAAATATTTAAAAAACATTCCACATTTGTGGATATTATGGCACTTCTAAAAATGATGAATAACCTGGCGCTTCTTAAAATAATCACGATTATAAATTGCATGTCCTTCCACAAATATGTTAAAAAAATCCATACCGATGCTTCGAAAAATATTTTGAAAAAATCCAAGCTGGTCCTTTAAAAAATCTTCGATTAGGAAACGCAGGTCCTTCAACGAAATATTAAAATAATTTTAAGAAATTCACGATTAGGGAACGCAGGACCATCGGCACATATTAAAAAATCTTCCGGTCCTGGATAAACTTCACAATTAGGGATTTGATGGTTGTTGTAACAGCCCTTTTGCTTTTACACAATAGGGCTGAGGTGACAGACGTGGGCCAAGTATAACTCGGGTCGTTTCCGATCGTAGACCCATCTATCGTGGAAACGGATTTGATGGTCCTTCATGATGGTAACATCTGCGCTTATGGATCAGATTTTTCTTTATAAAATATTCCAAAAGAGTTACGCTTAAAAGATCCGATGGTCGTTTATGTTATACGCTTTGGATCAGGTCATTCTTAAAATTCTACCCTTATGAATCTGATGATTTTTTTAAATAACCTTTAAAATCCACGATTATGTATCTGATGGTCGTTTAAACAAATTTCGTAAACATTTCACGCTTTTAGTTCTGATGGTTCTTCAAAAACTATTTTTCGGTCATCTATTCATTGTTTTCTTAATACATTTATAATTACCTTTTTATCTATAGTACAAAGATTCGCAGCTGCCTCACTTTTTTCCGGGCCTAAGGCGTCGAGAGATGTTTTCATAGCTACCAATATATTATCGGGTGTTGATGGTTCATAATGTTGTTTGAGATGAGCAAAGAATTCCAATTGTGAACATGTCACATGACCGCACAGCTCACAACGGAATTGTTGTCCTCCAACGCCAACAACCAGTTGAGGTAATTTATGCTCCTCCAGAGGAACATTTAATTGTAGATCATCAACATCGTTGTGATTGATTTTTAGCTTGCGGGATATGCGTTTTTTGTGTGGCAACACCTTGCGTGAATCAAAACGTGATATGTCACAGTCATCATCGACAATGGAACCATCCTAAAGAAACGAACAAATTAATAAGAATGAACTGTTAGTTAATTCCAAGACTTACATCCATAGTTACACCACTGCCATTTAACAGTAATTCTTGCACAACTTTGTCACCTCCGACTTCCACACTGCCCACACCATCTGCCGTCGTATAGGATTTATTCACGGGCATTAGGAAGTCATTATTTAAAGGCAGATATGTGGGTGATTTACGTTGTTCATTGGAATGATGGTGCTGGTGATGATCATCTGTGGTAACGGGAAACAAATGGGCATTGTGAAAATGTAATTCTGGCGGCAAAGTATCTGCACCATTATGCGATCCATTCGACACCACTCCTTTGGGGAAATTTATTAAATCCATAATAAAATGATCGGGAGGTAAGAGGGCAGCCTGCAACGGAAGACACCATTAATGTTACAGAATACACAATTGCCTTGCAATGACTTACATGATCCATAAACTCCTGATCTTTACGCTGCATTATGTGATCGATGGCATCCATGTTATTGTGTACCTCCTTGTGCACATATTTGCGTTTAAGGAGCTCCTATAATGTGGGACAGGAAGTAGTAGAAGTAAAAAATTCCATGATAAACACTAATTCCACTTACCATTTCATTGGATTTACAATGGTCCTCGAAACCATTGTAATCATTTAATTCCATTGCCGCAGACACCAGTTTTCTTGTTAATTGCCACTTTAGGTCGAATTTCTTTCCTAAATTAACGCAAATAAATAAAAACTTTAGCCCAGAAATAAACAAAATAAATAAGAATTAAGAAAACCAGCCGAATTCTGTGAGAAATGTCAAAATCAGCCGAGAGTGTCAGAGGCCGACCTCAACAGACCCTACAATCATTAATAATTCTACTTGTATTTGACAAATCCTTACCTTAATTTTGTTATTTCTGAAGTCGCACTATTGTCTTTATTATGTGCAACATTGATTTGGCTTAAATTTGTTGTCTTTTATTCGAGTTTATGTATTATTGTCGTTGTTTGTTTATAAAAAAATGTGAATGAATGTTCTTGTAAACATTGTGTCATCAATTCAAATTGAATGACATCGATAACATAATGTCAACATATCATGCGATATATCGTTTGCTTTTCGTCATGTTGTTTTAATTTCATTCGTAAACACGTATAGAAGTGAAAAAGGTAAACAAACAACATTCACAGATGATAACGTGAATGCCAAAACAAATAAAAGCGAAGAAAACAGTGATGCCAAATTGCAGTTAAAAAGGCGTAAACATTTAATGAATTAAAAAATCGCCAAACAGAAATAAAAACGTTAAACCCATAATTTTTAGCAATATGGGAGACGATTCTTAAAATTTATTACGATTTTTTATCTTGGTATAATAATATACGGCAACAGCAACTGTTGTTGTACAACAAACGATACTACGATAGTATAGTTTTTGACATGTATTTCAAAATATTACCATTTCGATTTGTTCGAAATGCTTTGCAACATCGAGATTATTTCAAAAGCAATCCAAAAAACAGTTGACTGTCAACGTTATATCATTTTTTATCTTTTAGTCTAAACAGCTGGTATTTTTACCTTGGTTTAGAAATTGAGTGTATTTAGAAGATATGATTTCAACGCCCCCTAAATTATATAAAAAACTGTAAATGAAAAAATATATATATTTGACACAATTTATTATATTTAAACACTGAAATTGGCAAATCAAGGTATTGCATTACTCATTTCAAATAGATTCAAATCAATTAAAAATATTGTCATAATAAAGGGCTGTAATGTAAACTCGGACGTTACGTAAAATAACATATTTTAGACTTTTTTACAGTTAATTTCATAATACGCTTGGATTGCCTTTTAAGTTTTCGAACCGAATAGACATATTTTTTTGTGTCTGAAAATAGAGAAAATTAAAAAGAAAAATCGAAAATTTAAAAAAGCCATACATATTATATTCTAAAGAACGCGCAAATCTCAATTCGATCGAATCAATGTCTGTGGAAGGTTGGAGTTCATCAGAGAATGTGCCCCCTGATAAAGAAGGTGATATCAGAAGATCTAGGAGAACCATCTCAAAACCATTAGCGGACAATACTCCTGAAAAGCCCACGCAAATTTCTATAGATCAGCTTATCCATACAAAAAAAAAAAAAAGAAGAATTCAGGCGTTAAATCAAAAACGAAAACCAAAACATTTGAAGGAAGACGATTTCATGAAGACATTTCTGAATTTGAGGATTCCCTTACATGTTCATTACAAAAGGTTAGTGATACAAATTCCATTTCGTGCGATGTAGGTCCCGGTCGGCCTCAAAACAAAAGGTCTAGAATATGCGAATCTCCAGATTTGTTTCAAGGCTTTACGCCGAATTCTCAGAATCGTTTTGCTTTATTAGGTGATATTGATATTGTATTTGAGCCCTTTGTTCCAAGAGCCCAGCAGTCACAAAAGCCAACTGATGCCTGCGTCATCGAGCAATCTAACCCAACTATTCAAAATGAAACTCCTGCGAAAGCGGTAAATAGCCTTAAAGGGTTTTGTCCACCAATTTTTCTCTATGATGTAAATGTGACAGATCTTATACAAACTCTTAAATCTAAAAACGTAGATTTTAAAATTTTTAACAAAAGCCAAAGGAAATCTAAATTGTATCTTAAAGAGGCTTCTGTTCACGCAGAAATGATTGAACTTCTAAAACTGAAAGAAATTCCTGCTTACACGTATACCCCTAAAGAACTAAAGCGCACCAGATTGATTTTGAGAGGCCTCCATCATAAAACAACCGTAACAGATATTAAACAGGATATTGATGCTATGGTTCCCAATACAGTAGATGATGAGGTTACAAAATTTTCGACCGAATTCTCTAGGAAAAATAATATAGACACCGGTCTTTTTTTGGTCACTCTTTTGCCAGGGAAAACAGTAGATGAACTTAGGGCTGAGAAATACATCTGTAAACAAAGAATATCATGGGAAACTCCGAAGTCTAATTTGAAGGTTGTCCAATGTTGGCGTTGTCAGCATTGGGGACACATATCGAAAAATTGTAGTAGATTATATGTTTGTATGAAATGCGACAAAAAACACGCCCCGGTTGAATGCAAATTTGAGTCAAGTGAGGAAAATAAACCTTACTGTGCTAACTGCAAACAATTTGGACATCCTTCAAATTATAGAGGTTGCCCAGCTTATAAAGATTTTTTACGTAAGAGAGAGGAAAATAAGAATATAGCTAGAGAAAAAAAGATATTAGCTAATAATAATGTAAGTCAAGCTATTGGAAATTTTAATTTTATAGATCCCAGGCAAACATTTGCCAGTTGCTTTGCTACACATACAAGGCCAAAGCCCTTAATAATTGCAGAATTTTTAAAAATTGCCAAAAATATTTGTCAACCAGAAGCTCCGACTCTTGAGGATAGGATTGAACATTTTGTTAGGCGGTATAGAACTCTAACAAAAGATCAGGCTAAGGAACAATGTTTGGAACTTTTGGAAGAAATAAAAAATCAATATGGTCCTTAATAATCTAAATTTCCTATCATTTAATGTGAGGTCACTTATAGAAGTGAGCCGAAGGATAGAATTATCGGGTATTTTAAATATGAACAAAATTGATTTCGGTTTCATACAAGAAACACATTTAAGAGATGCTCACAGGGTTAGATTGGAAAATTTTACATTTATTAGAGACAACAGTCCACAGGGTGTTGCTGTAGCATTAAGGAATTCGTATAAATTTAAAAGGGTTAATATTACTAACTTTCGTTTCCCTAATGTTTTTGTTAGTATAGATCTTATTTTAAATGGAATGGTACATGAAATTTTGGTTGGATCTGTTTACATTCCATGCAATGCTGATCGCACTCAATATACCGAAAGTTTATCCACCTTGCTTCAGATTTCTCAAAACTACTATGGATTAATTTTGGGTGGTGATTTTAATTCTAAACACATATCGTGGGGGATACTTCGAACAATGTCAATGGAAATACATTATTTACATGGTTACAACAATCATCGGTTTATATATCAAGAATTTCGGACACACTTCCATCATTTCCGAATGGAAATTCGTTTCTTGATCATTTTTTAGTAAGTTCTAGTATATTGGACCCAATATGGTGTAATTTTCAAATAGAAAGTTTAGCATCATTTTCGGACCATTTCCCTCTTAAATTAAGTTTAAAATTTCCTACGTTTTCAATACTTTTAATCTCTCCCCGAAACTACACTTCATATAAAAACACTAATTGGGATGACTTCAGAGATGATACAAAAAGGGATTTATTAGTAAACTTTCCGTCTTCCGAAATATGTCTTTCTAACGCTGAAATTGATGACTTTATCGATACATTTACGGAAGTGATACATAACACACATTCCAGACACTCAACAAGAGTAGCTTTTAGTAAAAGATATAATGTTTCGGATTCCATAAAAAATCTTTTTAAATTAAAGTCTAATTGGCAAAGAAACTTGAAAAGAATCTTTTATAGGCATCGTGATAGATCAGATCCAAATTACTGTCTTTTATCAAAACAAATTCAGCTATTGAACATCATTATAAAGCGTCAAATTGAAATTGAACAGGCTAAACTATTTTCTGAAAGGCTACAGAACATCAAACCTGGTCCAAGAGCCCATAAAAATATTTACAACATAATTGGTTATAAGAAAAGGACATATATTAAAAAACTATCTGAAAACAATGTTGTGATACACGATGATTTGGTTGCTTGTGATAGACTAAAGCAATACTTCGGCAATATTTACAACCATCATGCTTTAAATGGAGACATACAAGAAATAGAATCTGTTGTACGTGAAGTCATATCTAGTGATTCAAATCTGCTAGTTTTTAATAGTTCTGAATCGTCTCTTAACCCATTGAATAATCCAAGACTTACATCTATGGACGAAATAGTGAACATCAGCAAGCAAATTAACAATAAAAAATCTTGCAGTCTGGATAAAATTTCAAACTTTATAATAAAGAAATTACCAGTTAAGGCCTTCGAATTTCTGACGATAATATTTAATAATTGTTTAAATAATGCATATTTTCCTAATAAATGGAAGATATCTAAAATCGTACCTGCTATAAAAAAAACAAATAACTCCGAAATCAATAATTTAAGACCGATATCAATGCTTTCTAATCTGGGAAAACTTTTTGAGCGAGTCATTCGTTCTAAGATGGATTATGGAATAAATTCAAAGTATATACCGGAACTTCAATTTGGATTCAAGTCTGGTCACTCAACGACAGACGCTTTACTTAAATTTCAAAATGATATTGTATGTAACTTGCGAGAAAGGAAGTGTACGGTTGCGCTTTCTCTTGATGTAGAAAAAGCTTTTGATCACGCATCCCATTTAGGAATTCTATATAAAATGATTAAATTGGATTTTGATCCACATGTTATTAAATTATTCCACAGTTTCTTCACTGGTAGAACTTTTTGTGTAGAATTTCATAATTTATTATCGGAGCTAGGAGAAATTAATTGTGGAGTACCCCAGGGATCGATTTTATCTCCCCATTTATATAGCATATTTATGCACGATTTTCCTCATACTGTCTCAGATTCCACCGGCCTTTTATATGCAGATGATTCGTTATTATATGCGCATGATGAATCACCAAATTTAGCGTTATCTAAAGTAAAACATCACTTGGAATTGGTATCACAATTTTACCAACAT